ACAGGGCTTGTGACAATCACCAGCTGACTGACAGGTGTGGTGGGACAGGGACAGACAGAGGACATGAAAGGGTGCTCTGGGGTTGAGAGGACCAGAAACATCAATGCTGACTCCTGCTGGAGATGCCGTTGGGTGCAGTTGGAAGAAAACCTCCCAAGAGATAAGACTCTGAGTTTCACTGCAGCCTGGGGCTGTGGACAGGAAATCAGTGGCTACTGTTAATGGCCTGGGGGAGGAGGTGAGGGTCCAACCCCAGGGCTGCTACTGGGAAGTGATTGCTCTGAAACAAAGGCTGTCTCCTCCATGATAAGGGCGTCTGAAGGGGGCCCTGGACACTGCTCTGGTCCTAGCTCAGTGTCCAGAGAGCTGCTCAGTGACTCGGGGACAGCTGAGCACATGGCCGGCCAAGTCTGGCCACCTGAAAGAAAGAGGGCCCCAGGCAGGGCAGGCAGGGCAACCTCTCCATCAGTCTCAGGATCACAGAGTCTCGTCCGAATGCTCTTCTACCCGAGTCAGGGGGGTGACTGGCCCCACAACACCACGGGGGCCCGGGCAGCTGCTGTTTCCTGTGGGTCTTCATAGCCATGGCTGAAATGTCAGTGAGGAATGTGGATACTTTTTTGGCCTGGCATCTGCCACTGTGCCCCTCATTCCTGCTTCCCAGACACAGTGTGGAGCTCCTAACAGACACCTTCTGCAGGACTGGTTCATCCGGGTTTTCCCAACAGAGCCCTCGCTGCATCTTAGTTTTTAGTCTCACCTTTGGAAGGAAAACCCATCCCTCTGCAGAACTGCTTTTGGATCGGCTGGTGTTTGCTGAGGACAAGCATTTCCCGAGGGGAACAGCACCCCGCTATGGGCAGCTGTGTCTGCCCCTCCTGCCTCCAAAGCACCTGCTTGCTTAATCCCAGGGAGACCAACCAGACACCCGACATCACTCTGTCCCCGACACTGTCCCTGACAGCCTCAAACAAAACCAGAAGGGAGCTGCCATCGAGGGCATGGCCAGGCAACAGGCCGGCTAGCAGCGGCTTCAGGAGGGGCTGCTCCACACCATCCACTCCCCACACGGGCCTGCAGCCACGAGCCACAGCATCCGAGCTGCCCCTACTTCCGGTGGCCATATTCCTCATCCCCAAGTAAGAAAGAACCAAGAATGAGACCTCAAGGAGTTAAGGTCACCAGAGCTGTGATGGCCCAGGATGGGAAGCCCCCAGCCTTGCCAGAAGCCACAGCAGGCGGGTGACCATGAGATGAGGCGTCAGGAGCACCAAAGGGCCGGCCTGTGGGAATGGGGACAATGGCACATCCTGTGAGAGCCTGGTCTGCAGGCAGGACCTGCCCCCTCCAGGAGGCGGCCCAGTGGCACCTCTGCACCAAAATCTGAGATGCAGGTTTGACAAAAGGTGAAAAGATTTTTTTTACTTGTGAATTTATTTATTTGAGATGCTTTAAGACGTTTGAGGAATCATATGTTCATGAGTCAGTTTTATGACAACAGTCAAATTTTATGAAATCAGAAACATGAGTGGCGTCCCCACCTCTGTGGCCCCCTTCCAGGTGCTGAGAGGGGCGGGGAGACAGACAGGTGGACAGAATGGCACTGTGTCTGGGAAGATGCCAGGAGCCAGGAAGATACCAGACTCAGGCAATGCGACTAGGGAGTGAGAGGGATGACAAGGGTCTTCCCCCACAGCCCTGAGGAACTCAGAAGGAGCTCCCTCAGCACAGAGGGTGCACTCCCAGGTGCTGTGGCAAGAAAACTGGGGTTCATGGGGCTGCGCTCCACCCCAGAGGCTCCAGGAAGCCTGGTCCCTTGCTTGTGGGGCGCTGGCAGCATCCTCTCCTTAGGGGACTGTTCCCTTCCATGTCCTGACAAAGCCACTCCCAGCTTCCAGGGGCCCTAGAAAACTTGGCCTGGGGTCCCTTCATCCAGCCTCAACTGGTTACCTTGGGCCCCCTGGCTGACCCAGGACAGTTGCTAGGATACCTCTATGACCTGTCTTACCATTGTGACCCGTGTTACTTCTGTGACCTGTTGCCACCTGATACCAAACAGTACTGGGCTGGGGCCGCTGCAGGGACTCCCCCAGCAGTGGCAGGGAAGGGCTCCCCAAGACCTTGTCATACTTAAAGTGAGATTTGGCTAATGAGACAGAGCTGGCCCCATGGAGAACTGGGGAAGCCACCCCCAAAGCAACAGCAAGTGCCCCCAGCAGGGCACAGCCAGGCTGGCCAGGGTGCAGGGCAGGGGGCAGGGCGACTACAGGGCCTCTGGTGGGTGGAAGAGGCCATCACAGCCATGAAGGCCGTAGGCACGAGAAGGGCATCATGTGGTTTATATTTTTAAAGACCACCCGGGATTTGACATTTAAATGACATCTGAGATCTGTTGTGAGAGCACAGGTCCAGGGGAGACAGATAAGGAGGGTGAGACGTGTGCTTCGGGTGCAGATGGCGGGCACGGCCCACGGCCCGGAGGCAGGAGACGTGAAGATGGAGACCATGGTGCAGGCCCCAAGGAGACCTGTGAGTGACGGGACAGGGACAGGACACAGAAGACCCACCAAGGAGGAGAGAGTGGAGGGGGGACAGGGGACCATCCATGGAGGGGGCAGGGCAGGGGCATAGGGACCCTCCATGGAGGGGGAGGGGAGGGGAGGGGGACTCTCCATGGAGGTGGGGGAGGGGAGGGGACAGGGACCCTCCATGGAGGGTGAGAGGGAGGGGGATAGGGTCCCTCCATGGAGGCTGGAGGGAGGGGTTAGGGACCCTCCATGGAGGGGGGAGGGGGATAGGGACCCTCGAGGGGGAGGGGGATAGGGACCCTCCATGGAGGGGGGAGGGGATAGGGACCCTCCATGGAGGGGGAGGGGGGATAGGGACCCTCCATGGAGGGGGGAGGGGGGTAGGGGACCCTCCATGGAGGGGGAGGGGGACAGGGACCCTCCTGGAGGGGGAGGGGGACAGGGACCCCTCCATGGAGGGGGAGGGGAGGGACCCTCCATGGAGGGGGGGGGGGGGATAGGGACCCTCCATGGAGGGGGGAGGGGGATAGGGACCCTCCAAGGAGGGGGAGGGTGATAGGGACCCTCCGTGGAGGGGGGAGGGGACAGGGACCCTCCATGGAGGTGGCAGGGAAGGGGACAGGGGACCCTCCATGGAGGTGGGGGACAGGGGACCCTCCATGGAGTTGGGGAAGGCAGGGGACAGGGAACCCTCCATGAAGGGGGAGGGGAGGGGGAAGAGACCCTCCAGAGGGAAGAAGGGAGGGGACAGGTGACCCTCCATGGAGGGAGCAGGGAAGCGGGATAGGGACTCTCCATGGAGGGCAGGGGGACAGGGGACCCTCCATGGAGGGCAGGGGACAGGGGACCCTCCATGGAGGGCAGGGGACAGGGGACCCTCCATGGAGGAGGGGAGGGCAGGGGACAGGGGACCCTCCATGGAGGGCAGGGGACAGGGGACCCTCCATGGAGGTGGGAGGGCAGGGGACATGGGACCCTCCATGGAGGTGGGAGGGCAGGGGACAGGGGACCCTCCATGGAGGTAGGGGACAGCGGACCCTCCATGGAGGTGGGAGGGCAGGGGACAGTGGACCCTCCATGGAGGTAGGGGACAGGGGACCCTCCATGGAGGGGGAAGGCAGGGGACAGGGGACCCTCCATGAAAGGGTGAGGGCTGGAGAGAAAGGGGAGGAGGGACAGGTGACAGGGAAACCAGCCCCCTTTTATGGAGAGTCCCCTATCCCCCCTTCTTTACCCCTGTCTCTGCTCCCCTGTCCCCCCACCCTGTCCTTCCTGGCCTCTCATGTCCCCCCCTTCCTTGTCCCTCCTAAGGTCCCTGTCCTGTCCCTTTCTCTGTCCCCTGTCCCCTCCCATTCCCTCCTGCTGGGCCTTCTGTTTTCCTGTCCCCTCCCCCTCGCTCATGGGCCTCTGCGGGGCCTGGGCTGGGCCTCCAGTCTCCACCTCTCCTGCCTCCCGGCCACGTGCCCGCCCTCTGTGCCTGAACCACACCTCACCCTGTGCATCTGTCTACACGAGCGATTTTCCACGGGGTGTGCCCCGGTCCCCAGGGGGCGCGGCACCGAACTGTGCAGGCTGGGCACAGGCCTGTCCCCTTACAGTGCCCGATAAGTATGACACCCTGGCTTCAAGTTGGGGCCTAAAGAAATGCTGCTTGGCCGTTTCAGATCCTAGAAAACGTAAAGCACAATTCCTTAGAAAGAAGCACCTGAGAAAAAAGGAAAAAGAGAAAAAAGAAAGACAGAAAGAGGAAAACATGGCAATAGCCTTGGAAAGAAGGCAGTGCCCTGAATCAACAGTCAGGTGTGGGGTGTTTTAAAAACTGCTGCGCCACACAAGTGGGCCGAGGCACATGTGTTGGAAATCGCAGCTCCATGGCCTGTGCCCTCGACACGCATCTCAAACATCATTTTAAATGTCAAATCACCGGGTGACCTCCAGGGGGTGGGGGGAGGGGAGAAGGGGGTCCAGGGGGAGGCAATGGTGATGGAAGGAGACTTGACTTGGGGGTGAACAGACAGTGCAATATACACATGAGGTTCTATGCAACTGTGCTGCTGAAAACCAAATCCTTGTGTGAACCAGGGGGCACCCCAGTGAGATAAATCACAAATAAATAAAAGGTGGGGCCTTTGAGGGGAGAGCCCTTGTGAATAGGATGCACACCCAGTTGAAAGACACCCCTACTAGACTTACTGGGGAGATCACTCTGTAACCTTAAAATGTCTAACCACTACACAGTGCACCTGATCTAAAACTAGATGTCAACTCTAATTGAAAAAACTTAGATTATTAAAAATACATAGACATATAATGCAGAGTGACCTTTAAAAAGTATAAATCAGATCATGTCAGTGTCGTGTCTAAAGGCCTTGCTGGCTCCAGCAGCCGTCAGCAGTGCAGACGGACCCACTGCTGGGACAGACTCACACACCTGGGAGAGAAGTGGCCCATCTCCTTCCCCCGGGGCCTCTGTCCTGTCCAGGTGGCCTCTCGTGCTGGTGCAGGCAGAGCTGGGCTGCCCTGAGAGGGGGCTAAGCGTTCACTCGGCTGCTTCGTTCTAGAGTGGGAGCAGACACAGAACAAAATTTTAAAAACCCTTCATGATTCCAACAGCATTTTTACCCCACGCAAGGGATCCTTAGCCGCCCACCCACCCCCCCTCCCATGCACCCCAGCCCGCCTGGCTCACCCAGCCCTGGGGGACAGGCTGGGAGGAGACTGCCCGGGCAGCCGGTTACCACGCATCTGCTCGGACATCTGAACACAACTGCACTTCTCTTAAGAAGCAAATGGAGGGAGGCATCTGCCAGGATCCGCCACATACGAGGGGACTACCTCTTCATGACACAGTGACAGGGTCACAGCCCCATGACCCCAGCATGCTCTCACCCCACCACCACATCCAAGGGACTCAGGATTCACCCGCAGCTGGAAGCAGCTCCCTGGCCTCTGAGAACCCAGGGACCCTCTGCAGAACCCTTCCACACGGCTGCTCTCACGTGACTGCGGGGCCTGGACTGCTGAAGTGCGGGCATGTGGACTACTTGGACTTTTTAATTCCACTCTGGCAGAGAAAGCCAGGCCTGGGCCTCACGTCCTTCACTGCTGCCGCTGCCGCTGCTGTGAGGAACAGCGTGGAGGTTCCCCCAGAACACAACAAAAACCCCAGAACTAAAGAACTGAAGGCGCATCTGGAAGAGATGCGTGCACGGCCTTGTTCACAGTGGCGTTGCTCACAGTGGCAAAAACGTGGACGCAACTCAAGGGTTCCACTGACAGGTGAATGAGTAAACACAATGTGGCGGATGGATAAAATAGAATATTATTCCTCCTTAAAGGAAGGACATCTCGAGAGATCCAATATGGCAGAGGAGCAATTGCATATCACGCTTGCCTCCTTTCAGGACCAAAATGCAGTTACAATTAAAACAGAGAGCCAGTCACCAGAACAACCAACTGAAGACCAGCTGAAGAGAAGTCTTATAACCAAGGATTTCAAGAGGCCGCCACAGGGAGGCCGGTCGGAAGTGCAGAGACACGAAAAGGGGACACGCCCCACAGCTCCCGGCTCCCAGCTGTCCTGCCCCAGTGACCTTGGCCTCCCAACAGAGTCTTGGACTGACTCAGGGCCCTCAGGACCCACACAAGGGACGTTCCTGGAGCACCCGACTCAGGCGATCAGGAGACTGTACCACTGGGTCCCACGGGACACCCACACCATGAGGCCGCACTGCCAACACTGGGGGATCGTGGCAGATCTACCTAATACACAGAAACAAACACAGAGAGTCGGCCAAAGCGGGGACACAGAGCAGCAGCCCCAAGTGGAAAACAGAAGGAATCTCCAGAGAAACAGCCAAATGCAGTGCACGCCGGAACTCAACCAGAGAGAGTCCACAGCAACAGAGCCCAAGGATACTCCCAAAACTGACGGGAAGAGCGGACGCAATTAGGGCTGAAACAAAGAGATAGTAAGCATGAAAAAAGGACAGAGAAGCAGTAAAAAAAAATAAGTTAGAAGTGAAGAACATAACATCTGAAATGAATATAGTAGAAGGAATAAGTGGTTGGATGAAGGAGAGGATCAAACCAGCGATTTGGAAGTCAAGATGGCAGGAAACACAACCAGAACAGAGAAAAATATTTAAAAAATGAAAACAGTTGAAGAGACCTGCGGGACGACATGAGGTGTAACAACACCCACATCACAGCAGCACCAGGGGAGGAAGAGGAAGAGACGGGACAGACACCTATTGGAGGTGATCATGACTAAACACTTCCCTACCCTGGCTCTGGCCAGGTGGGCCAGCTCGTTGGAGGGTCTTCCACAAAGCTGATGGGTTGGGTCCCCAGTTGGGGCTCACACAGGAGGCAACCGATCCATGTTCTTCTCTCCCCGTTCTTCTCTGTAAGCATGTCTTCAAGTAAGGAAAAAAAAAAGCCCTGGCTGGTTTGGCTCAGTGGACTCAGTGCCAGCCTGTGGACCCAAAGGTCACTGGTTCAATTCCCAGTCAAGGCACATGCCTGGGTTGGGGGCCAGGTCCACAGTTGGGGACATGCAACAGGCAACTGATGGATGTGTCTCTTGCACATCAATGTTTCTCCTCTTCTTTTCCTCTCTCCCTCCCTCTTGCTCTTAAAATAAGTACAGAAAATATATTTTTTTAACTCCCTAATCTGGAGAAGGAAAAAGATACACAAGGCCAAAAGCACAGAGAGTCCCAAACAAGTGAACCCAAAGAGGCTCCCACCAAGACACATCATATTTAAGGGAACAAACATTAAAGACACAGAGAATCTTAAGAGCAGCAAGAGACACAGCCCTACCTACAGGGCGGCTCCTGTAAGTCTGTCAGCTGATTTCTCAGCAGACGTTTCAGGCAAGAAGGGTTGGCCCATAATAGTCCAAGGGATGAAAAGCAAGGACCTCCAACCAAGACTACTCCACCCAGCAAGGCTGTCATTTAACACTGAAGGAGACTTGCCTTGGCTGGGAGCTCAGTTGGTTAGAGTGTCGTGCCACTATGACAAGGTTGCAGGTCTCATCCCTGTTCAGGGCACATACCAGAAGCAACTAATGAATGCATCAATACGTGGAACAACAGATTGATGTTTCTCTCTCTCTCTCCCTTCTCTCTATCTAAATCACTTAAAAGAAAAAGAAAAAAAACACAGAACCCAAATAAAATCAGACATGAAAGAGAAGTAACAACCAACTCCACAGAAATACAAAGCCATATAAAGAAACAGTACAAACAACTACAAGCCAACACAGTGGATAATCTGGACAAAATGGGTTAAGTCCTTGAAACACACCACCTTTCCAACTGAATCGGGAAGAAGTGGAAGTTCTGAATAGACCAACTCAATAGACCAATGAATAAAATTGAAGTAGTAACAAGAAGCAAAAGTCCTGAACCAGATGGCTTCACAGGTGAATTCTACCAAACACTCAAAGAAGTCTTTGAACTAACACCTGTCTTTCTCAAACTATTCCAAGAAACTCCAGAGGAGGGAAGACTCCCAAGCTGCTTTTACAAGGCTAGCATTGTGCTAATTCCAAAACCAGATAAAGACACGACAAAGAAAGAAAATTATAGGCAATATCCCTGATGAGCACAGACGCTCAAATTCTCAGCAAAATTTGAGCCAACCAGATCCAGCAACATGTATAAGATTCTACACCACAATCAAGTGGACTTAACAAAAGCTCCTTGCAGTCCAAGGATGCAAGGTTGGTGTGATATCCACAAATCAATAACTGTGATACACCATATGAACAAAATGAAGGGTGAAAATCACCTGATCATATTGACAGATGAAGGAAGAGCATTTGATAAAATTGAGCACTTCTGACAAAGAACTCTCAGCAACGGGGATGAAGGGGACACACCTCAACACAAAGGCCACTTAGGACAACCTCATGACCAACATCATACTCAGCAGGAAACAGCTGAAAGCATCTCCCTTAAGACTGGGGGCAAGACAGGGATGCCTGCACTCACCACCCTCATCCAGCACAGCGCTGGGGTCCTCGTGGCAGCAGCCGGACAAGGGGACAAGGGCATCCACATCGCAAAGGAGGAAGTGACACTGTCACTATTTGCAGGTTCTGTACACCGAGACCCTCAAGGTTCCACCAAATGCTCCTAGAACTGACATGAATCCGGTAAAGTAGCAGGACACAAAATAAACACCCAGAAATCACTTGCATTTTCAATGCGCCAACAACGAACCACCAGAAAGGGTGGTTCTCTTAGTTAAGAGAACAATCCCATTTACAGCTGCATCAAAAAAAAAAAAAAAAACACCCTAGGAGTAAACTTTACCGAGTACGTTAAAGACCTTCTGGGTACCTCGGCTGGGTCGTGAAGGATGTCAAGGAGCAGTGCCTGTGAGTGATGCTCCTCAAGGATGTGCAATGATCTGGCGGCACCGTCGGTGGAATGAGTGCTTTTTAATCATCGGCAGATCACAGCTGCAGACGCGATACTTATACTGTCCAGGTAAGGGGTGATTAATAATTTTCCTCTATGTACTTGGCAGAAGGGTGCTCAGAATGAGGTAATGATGATACCTCATCTTCATAGGCGCTCTCCTTCCACAGGTGGCTTCGATTTATCTTCCAACGTGGCAGAGAAGAGGGACAAGCAATGCTGGTGGGTGGAATCGACACACCCCATTCAGCTGGGGGCTAAACGAAGATGAGGGACACAAAGTGACTCATCAAAAGTCTGACACTTACTCAGCAGTCAAGCCAGGGAGAGTCGAATTGCCCATCAGAGACTCTGCCCATGAAAGTCATAACGGTAAGTTGTCCTAACGAACTTTTCAGCATTTGAACTCAGTGAAATCTACTTGGTCCTTGTGTCCCACGATTTGGGCCAGGGAGCCACCACGGCTCATCCTCTCCACACAGGGACTCAGGGACCCAGGGCTTCTCTGCTGTGTGGTTCCTCCAAGTGCCCCGGAGGCTTGCTGTCCCTCCGAATTCAGCTGGCAAGGAGCACAGACCAGTGGTGTGCAGGACAGACGGACAGGTGGTGTCGGGAAGGCCTGGGAGGAGCCACGACAGCTGGTCCCGCCTCTGTCCAGACCTGAACTGCCTGGTGAGAGGGGCTCAGACACAGAGCAGCACGGACAGGGTGCTTCTGGGCGCCGGGACGGCACGCCCACCTTCCGGTCCCGGTGCGTGTGCAGCCAACTCCGTGCACCCTCTTCAGGAAGAGCAACCAGAGAAGAAAATAAAACTGAGTCATGCCAATCAACACAGCACTTCAGAGGACTGTGAGTAAAGACAATACCTGATTTGTGCACAGCAGAAAGTCAACCTGCTGTCCACTCACTCTCTTCCTCCCCTGTGTTCCTTTAAAGAGACCACATCGTTCTGAAGCCACCAGCATGGAGCAAGTCCAGAGCCAGCCGCCCCCTCACTGATGACAACCAAGAGCTCGGGACAGAACAGAGAAGCCGGTGTCCACGGATTCTAGAGCGAAGCAGCAGCTTGCAGACTGGGGATGGAAGTCAGGACTGGACGAGTGACCAGCATGGCAGTGACCTGGTGGGTCCCCGCCTGCATCTAAGCTCTGTCCTGAAGGAGGTGAGTGTCAGCACTGCTCCATGAGCAGGGTGGGAAGGACGCAGAAAGGACTGGACAGGAGCCTGTCAGAGCCACAGTGGGGGCTGCTGGGCACCCCTTCCCCCTCCTCCTCTCCTGGCCCTGCTGCTGCCCCTGAAGGTGCAGCCATGGCCAGGGAAGAAGCTCCTGAAATGCAAAGGAAAAACCCTGTCTCTGGCGAGGACCTCATAAAATGGGCTTTGTGCTACACAATTTGGTGGAACCCTGCCTATTTTCTCTCTTTTTTCCTCTTGCCAGTTAGCCCTATAAACCACCCAGTTCTGTGAAGGGTCCACGCAGTGCATGGGGAGATTCTGAAAGAAACCAGAGCTTCCCACTAAAGAACAGGGAAGGTGGCAGAATCCAGGACAAGATGTGCTGACGGTGAGCTGGGGCTATGAGAGCGCACCCTGGAGGCCACCTCGGGCTCTGCGCCACGCTGGTGCTGAGGTCAGCCCTGCAGACACTGAGACAGGACTCACAGACTTAATAGGTGGTGTCACCCTCTGCTGTGTAGTGGTGAGGAGACAGACTACACAACCCCGTTTGGAAAGGAGAAAGGGCAGCACATCCATAGGCAGCTTCATCCGAAGTTCGGAGGGAGAATCTGATTGAATGTGAACAGGCACAGAGGTCAAGCAGAAGAACGCCAGAGTCCTGGAGCCCGGACTGCAGCCCCACCCCACCCCGCCCTGCCCTGGATTTTAGATTGGAGAACAAGCTCATTTTGGCAAATAAATTGATTTTTCTTTTGTGCTTTCAGTTTTTCCTGTTGCCTATGTTATGGACTAAATTTCTTGTCTGAAAAGTAAACATAAGCAAGTGAAGAGCAGCTCTCAGGGAGCCCCCCGTCTGCTAGGGAAGTGCTGATCCAGCAGGTGCACAGGCCCAGCCTGACCTCAGCGCCAGGGAGACCAGGCGCAGTTTGGTGCCCCTCAGTGGGTGTGCCTGGTGGGGTCGGGCTGTGCCTGCCGATGGCCCAGCAGTCCTCCCGGTTCTGATGGAAAACGTGGAGACACCATGACCAAATCCACGATACAACCAGGGCATGGCACCTGATTTTAAGTCACACGGGATACACTTTGTTGCCGTTGGGGGCAAGTGGTGGGTGTGAGTAACAGGCCGTAACCAGGAACTGGCCCGCCCAAATGCTGTGCCTTCCATGACACATGAGACAGTTCACCGTCGAATCCCACTCAGGACTAGGGCGTCAGGACTAACGCCTGCGGGGCCGTATGGTCCCTTCTCTGCCCGTGGTCCCAGTCACCCTACTGGATGTTGTACCTACTTCTACAGACCACCTCACCTGCCAGAGGTGGGCAGGACGCAGAGACAGGGAAAGAGAAGCAGGGAGGTCTCCCCTCCGCAGGAGACCTGGACAGCCGAGCATGTGCTGGGGAGAGAGTCCGCGCCATCTGAGGCATTTAGAGTGTGGCACATGTGACCACCAGGGCACAAAAACCTCCTACTCCTCCGAGGTTTGCTGGCCTCCGCTCCCCCTCCGTGAGACCCCTGCTGTATACACTGGTCACTTTGTGGGTAAAACCGTCACGCGCCTACGGGGGTAGGAAGTACCAGACAAAATGAGCTCAAATTCAAGGAAAAATAATAACCATCCTCACAGGTGTGTTTGGGAAGTCAGCCCACCTCTGACTACACACAGGTCTCACTTGAGAACATTTGAACACTATCACTTCATAGGAATTCCTTTGACTTTATCACCCTTACCCCTGCCTGCTGTCAAACAACCAGAGAAATACGCCCGGTCTTCACCGTGGGGCACTTCCCTGGGGGTACTAGAGTGGGAGCCAAACCTGAGGAACTGCAGGGACAGGCAGGAGGCAGCCCCCTGGTACCGGACGGCCCCGGGTGTGAGGGACTAAATGCTTTCATTAAGAGACCCTCCACCCTGCCCAGTGCCACCCTGATGTCCTCTACCACAGTCGCTGAATTTATCGTTGCTGGCACTTTAAGTGGACTGCAGCTTACCTCGAGCTGTGAATTCAGCAGAATTTCACTCCATTCACCCCCACTCTGCTCTGCATATTCAGGTCTATTCTTCAGCTGGTTCCAAGGCCGAGAATCAGAATTCTTTCTTTTATAACGAGAAAAAAATTACTTTATCCACAGAGCAAAAGAGAATAAATGAGAATTCTGTTTCACCTCCAGAAGGGACAGACAAGGGGGAAGGTACTGATTTACATACATGAACAGTTTATGTTATGCCGGGTGCTGGTTCTGTGATTATACTTTTAAAGTTAGGAAACACTTTGGCCCCTGGGATGGCCAGGGACAGGCTCAGCCAATGGAAATCTCCAGAGTGTTCACTCGGCTGCCTCGCACAGAGCAGAGGAACATACCTGAAGTTGATGTTTTATTGAACCACTTTATTGGCTTTTTCTGAGTCTTGGGCATAATCACCAACATCACTGGTGAACATTTTGATAATTTTTCGATTTCCAGGGCGGTGGGTACCCTAACCCCAGCGTGCTCAGGAGTCAAGGGCACCCACGGGAACAGCCTTTCAAAGAGGTGCCATTTCCTGAGGTTCTGGGTGCAGCGCAGCTCTGTTCTCTCCCCACCAATCACAACAGTCAGCCTGACAGCAGCATTATACACGGAGGTACTATTATCGCTGCTGTACACATGAAGACACAGGCAGGCAGAGGGCGAGTCCCAGTCAGGCAGAAACCCAACCAGCGGACTCGGCCCCAAGGTCTCCCTGAACTGCAGGCAAACGGATCACACCAAGACCCTGAGGGGAGGCGGAGCAACCCCCCAACGATGCCAAACTTGCTCACACACTGAGGTCTTCTCTCCTCTCCCTCCCGTCCCTCTAGGACTCTAACTCAATACAGAGATAATAGTGCTTTTTTTGATTATTGTATGTGTCTTTAGAGGGAAAAGAGGGAGGTAAAGAGAAACATTGCCCTGTGTGTGGCTCACCTGCTGAGAGCTGGCCTGCAGAAGCAAGGGGAGCTTGCAACCCACTCAGGCACAGGCCTTGGGACAAGCCAAGTCCCTGGTTGGCAGGCAAAGGAACCACTGCTCTCCCTCTGGTTCGCCGGCCCTTCTCCACAAAAACAAGGATAAAGATATAGATTTTGCATGATGGCACATAGGTGTCAAACAGAACATCTCTCTGAAGGCTGGCCTGTTGGCTACTCTGGCCACTGGGTGGGGACAGTGTGAAGGAGAGGTTCGAAGAGCTGGACAGGAGGGTGGCTGGCCCAGCAGCACCACCACAGCTTGCGCCCTGTGCCTCCAAGACGCACCCTCGTTGTGCGTCACCATCTTCGGTGGTGAGTTAAGTGGCCAGGCTCCTGTCCAGATCCCCACAGGTGACTGCCTCGGGGTACCTGTAACGGACCCGGCCTGTGCTGCAGCATCCCTTCCACAACCACAGTGTGCCCTTGGCCCCCTTGAACTTTTACATCCTCTCCCTTCCCTTAACAACAATACAGTTGAAGTTTAAATAAAGCAGCAACCAACACTCTTTCTTCCGTTTGGTCACAGCCAACCTGTTGAACATTTCACAGGGAGCACACTGTTAACAGTTCCAAAGCAGGAGGCAGGAAGGTCGCATGGATTTGTCCCTGCAGCAGGAGGACGATGCGGCCTGACTGTCATGAAGACAGAGAGCTCTGGGCTGCGGGGCCCAGCAGCTCAGTACCCTCTGACTCTCTGCAGCTGCCACTGAAATGGGGTCTGTGCTGGGCTCCGGGAGCACCCGCGTCCCCCAGACTCCTGCACAGCAGCTGAGCTTGTCTTACTCAGCCTGGGCCTGGGCTCCAAGGTCAGCCCTGGATCCTTCCAGAGGCTGCGGGCGGGAGTCTCATGTGCTGTAGGGGCGTGAGGAGCTGGGAGGAGGGGCAGAGACCTCAGCCTCCCTTCTCTGGCCGCCTCCCAGAGGCCCCAGGAGGCTCTGGGGTTCCCAGACTCAGGTTCTGACCCCTGGATGTGAACACCCTTGCTGACACCCTCCTCCGCTGTTTTAAACAAACATCTTAAATCACTAGACTGGGAGTCCTTCCCGAGAGGACAAGGTTTCATTGGCTTGCTATCCCTAGTACTTCCCATACACCTGAAGCCCAATATGCTGAAGGAATAGCTTCAAATACTACTTGGCCGTGACCCCGTGGGACAGGGCACACACGGTCTATAAAACTCATCCTATAACATGTTAGTAGATTCTGTTTAACGTTTCTTAGTTAACTATCCCATCACCCATCTAAAGCCTCAGCCAAAAACAAAGATTGCTCAACACACTGCATACAGTGGGCACGTGATTTACTTTGCGTGTCTGCCAAAATCTGTAGCAGTGGGCACTGACTACATCGGTCCCTGATGCAAGTCAAAACATTACAGGGTAGAGGTGTTTCTTGTTTTAATGTCCAAAATAACGGGAACACTATGTACACCAAGGGCCTCCACGTAAAATAGTAGGTAAAATTAGGTATCACTTCAGTTTTAAAACCGTAACAATATGAATTTTAGGACTGAAGCTGTCTCTTGGTGAACTGCCTAACCTCAGGATGGAGCAAACACTGCATTTAGGTATTTCAGCTTCACAAACCATTGGAGTGAGTTAAATATTTTATTTATTTATTAAACTTTGAGGGCAGAAGATACAGCCACATTTTAATGTTTACAAAGAAGTTGATTTTTACCCAAAGAAAACTGGCTTTTCATACCTGGGAAGTTACTTGTTCAATTTGAGTCAAAGTGACAGCATGTGCTACACATCTGTATTTCTGAGTTTATGAAACAGATATTTGATACCAAATACAAAGAACACACAATTGATATTTTAAAGATAATGCTAAATTTACTATTTTAGACACACTCTTTCTCTCTAAAAGTCTATAAAATCACCTTTAATTACTAACCTGTTCCTCACCCTCAATATAGTCAATGAAAATCACAATTGGATTAGAGTCTGAGGTTTAAAAAGAAAAAGTAAGACATTTACTAAAGTTTCCTTTATTTTTCAGCTTCTTAGCCAATCCCTAGTCAATCATGGTCCAGATGTTTTTCTTAACAGAACCTACACACATCATTATAATTCAAAAAGCATAGTCTAATGTTAAAATAATAGTGGAACCACTGGTTCACTTTGAATTCAACAGCTTTCCAGTTTTGTTATAGAAAATAATTTTTTTTAAATGTGTTTGTGCCCTGGCTGGTGTAGCTCAGTGGATTGAGTGCAGGGCTATGAACCAAACAAGGGCATGTGCCTGGGTTGGAGGCCAGTTTCCAGCAGGGGACGCACAAAAGGCAACCATACATTGATATTTCTCTCTCTCCTTCCCTTCTCCTCTAAAGATAAATTAATAAAACCTTTTTTAAAAAATGTTTAAAACATGTGTTTGTGTGATTATGTGCCTCAATCCATAAATCCACTACTGCAGCCCACTGTTTGGATAAATACAGAGATTCAAAGAAGAAAGTGACCCCAGCTAATTCTCTTCTCAGTATTTTTAAAACAATGTCTCTGCATTAAGGGAGTGTGCCCACTACAAATTATACCAATAGTTACTATTTACCTAGCCCCTCCTATGGACGGGCATGGGTGCTGGTCACTTCGCATATATGCTTTTCTTTACTCCTCAGAGAACCCCTGCAAGAAAGATATTATCTCCACCTCACAGATGAGAAAACAAAGACAGAAAGAAGATACAAAGCTGCAAAGTGGCAGAGCCTGCGTTGGTCCACTTGGAAGTTCATGCGCGTTATATTAAGCTACAGTGTCTTGAGTTCCTCAAAGATGTACTAAAGTTTTGTTTAGGTTTCCCAAGCAGAACTATTTCTCTGAGACCAGTACAACTGTTTGTAGTAATAAGCTATCTGCACCATCAATTAATGCAGTCTTGCCAAAAGGATAGGACTGACAAGGAGTAAACAATTCTTGTATCAGGGGACTATCAGAAAATGCAGAGTTAACTCAACACACAGGCACTCCGGCTGATCTTTTCCGCATCACACAAAAGTTCTAATAGGGATAATTAGCCCCGAGTTTTTCCATATTCATTTTAGTGGTATTAGATACACATTCCACCCTGCTACTTGTTGAAATATAGTCACCTCGTGCCAAAAAAAGAAAAAAAAAGAAAAATCATATTACAAAAAAGCCAAACAAAATAAATGTACACTTTAGGCAACACTCATCTCTTTTCCTCCAAGCTCTACTCCTTCCTGTTTCTCCAGCAGCACAGCAGTCACATGACGCCTATTCGCCCAAGAAGGGAGCTGGGTCTGGAAACCAGTCCCAGGACCACAAGTGCTGGGCAGCTGGCCCCAGGGAGGGAGGGGTCTCGGTGGGCTCCGAGGCCGAAGAGCTGCTGCCCTCTGTTTTCTGAACAGGCCACGCTCACCCTGAGGACCAGCCCCTGCCCCCTGAGACTGAGCCAGGGCAACTCCGGGCGTTAAAGGGCGATGAGACTCTTTCCCTCTGATTTCTTCCCTAACCAAACAAACCACCATAACTGAACAGTCACCCTTGGGTTGCGCATGGGTTCCCTGGGCGAATTCCCTCCCAGACGTCCACTCCCGGGCCTGGAATAAGTTCCGTCCTTGCCCAGTCCCCTCTGCCCTTCCACAGAACCCCCCCCCCCCCCCCCCACGCCACACACCCCGTTTGTCAAGGCGGTTAATTCTCTGCGGACTACAGATCCTCTTGTCCCTCACCGCCCCCTCTTGAGACCTGGAAAAGCAGAGACCCCCACTTAATACAAGAGGGTTGGCGGGGCGCTGCTGCAGATGGGCTGGGATTCTGTTCCCGGCGCCCAGCGGTCAGCGCAGCAGCAGCCACCAACGAACCTGACCTCAGTGTCCGGGAACAAGTCCTGCTGGTTCAAGGGACCAACTACCGGCTCGCTGAGTCCCACCCTTTGGGAGAGCGCTGACCTGGAGTTAACCCTCCCGCTGCCACCGCTGTCACCGAGCAAGCCCCGAGGAAATGCCAATCCCCCAAGCACTTTGAATAGGCGACCAGCCCAAGCTCGCCCTTCTCGAGCCCCCCACTCACATCTCCCGAGCCCGACCTACGCGGGGCTTTTCAGCCAAAAGGAACGAACCCTTCAGCTGCCGACCGCTACTACCAACACACGTGGCCCGCTCCACGCCCCAGAATCCCAGGGCGCGAGGGGAGGGGCCCCACCTGGCCATCGCGGGAGCAGGACGGCTGCACGGGGCTGACGCCAGCAGTTCTCACCTTGATGACGCGGGACACCAAGGAAGGCTGCCTGGCCCAGCCCTGCAGCCCCACCTCCTCCCTCCAGAAGGGCCCGAGGCACCAGTCCAGCAGGCGCCGGAGGACACCAACATGAAGGCTGACCAGCGGTGGTTTCTGCACCACCTGGTCTGGCTCCGATGCCCCGCGGCTCCTTGGGCACGAGGCCAACAGACGCCGCAGCCAGGAGCCTGAGGGGTTCCCAGGACAAGCCCTCTTATCGTGCTGTCCACCACCCAGCTCTGCTCCCAGGGAAACAGCCGGAGGGCCAGGTGTTCCTGCCGCCTACAACGCCACCTGCTGAGGCTTCTGCGAAGGACCTTGTGCCAGTGGGGATCCCGGGCTCCTTTCTACCAGACCTTCCTTCGCTCTTTAGTGTTGGTTAAGTCATTCTTCCCACCGTGTTTATTGACTGTCTGTCTACTCCGTGCAGAAAGACGTCAAGACTGGGCAAGGGGGGAGGCTGGGGAGAATCGGCATAAAAATCCCTGTTCTGCATTTATGGTAATAGCAAAAGATGAAAGCCACAAGTGTTTATGAGTAGGTGGTTGATTAAATCAACTATATAGTATGTCCCTACGAAGCAATACAAAGCACTGTAACAAAGATGAAGTTCTCTATAAAGTGATATGGAATAATGTCCAGGAAATAGTTTCAAGGAAACAATGCTAGGTGCAGCCTATGTATATAATGATATTTTTGGTGTAAGTACGAAAATAAGACTATATGTGTACATATATATGCACATATGTATATATTTGCATAAAAAATACCGGAGGACTGATCAAAATAGTGACTTACGGAGGTAGGGAAGACTGGATAGCCAGAGGCAGGAATGGAAATGAGACTTCTCTAGGTACATTTTAATATCATTTTGACTTTCAACCATGTAAATGATTGCCTGTTCAAAAGTTTAACCTAATTTAAAAGTCAACAACAATATCTGCAAGGCTTTCAAATTTAACTAAATCCCTGCTTGTGAAGGTTACATTCTAGTGAGGAGACATGTCATATAATAAACAAATAAAAGACATACTGCCTTGCCTTGGCTGGTGTGGCTCAGTGGACTCAGCACTAACCTGGCAACCAAAGGGCAGCTGGTTCCATTTCCAGTCAGGCACATGCCTGGGTCGCTGGCCAGGTCCCCAGTAGGTAGCGTACAAGAGGCAACCGCACATCGATGTTTCTCTCCCCCTCTTCCTCCCTTTCCCTCTCTTTAAAAATAAATAAAAATAAAAACTTTTTCTACAATTTTATTTATTTAGTTTTAGAGAGAGGGGAAGGGAGAGAGGAAGAGAGGGAGAGAAACATCAATGTGTGGTTGCCTTTCATACGCTCCCAACCAGGGACCTGGCCCACAACTCAGGCATGTGCCCTGACTGGGAATTGAACTGGTGATCCATTGGTTCGCAGCCCATGCTCAATCCCCTGAGCTACACCAGCCAGGGCAAAATAAAATCTTTTTTAAAAAGAAAAGATGTACTGCCTTTATGGGTTGGCTTGTGCAAGCCCTCCCCCCAAAACAGAGAAATCTTATAGTCCTAACCCCAGTACCTTCCAAAGCAACCTTGTTCAGAAATAGAGCCATTGCAGATGTAATCAGTGAGGGTGGTCCTACTGGAGTAGGGTGGGCCCTCCATCCAAAATGACTGGTGTCCTTGTAACAAGAGGACAAGAGATACAGACCCAGGAGGGAAGAGGGCAGAGCCATTCTGGAGGATTTGCCAGCAAACTGCCAGGAACTGGGGGAGAGTCATAGAACAGGCTCTCTCAGAGCCTCAGAAGGAATCAACCTCGCCAACACCTTGACATTGGATGTCTAGCCTCCAGGACTCTGAAACAATCCATTTGTAGGGCTTTAAGCCACCCAGTCTGTGGTCCTTGGTTGCAGTAGCCCTAGCAAACCAATACACAGGGAAGGAGCAGAAGCAGTGAAGGGTGAAGAGGCTATTGTGTTAGTTTGAGGGAGTGACGGTTGTAGTTTGAGACTTGACTGTACTGTTCACCTTCCACAAGGTGGAAACCAACCCACTGTTCCCAACTTCTTTCCCTGGGGGAGAAATGACAACATGTGAATCAATATATACAACTGGGTGGTGACAGGTTTTCAGCTTCTCTTAAGGTCTGAGTGAGCCAAGACACATGGGTATTTCCAGCTTCCTTTATGTGGGGTGGGTTTTCCCTTCCCAGGGCCTTGCACTGAGTTGCTCCCTAGTCTACTTCCTACCAGTCAAGGTTTACAGGGTTGCACATGGGTATTGGGACTCCGTGACACTGGGGAAACTGCCATGTCCCACATCCCCACTCTCTCCCCGATCTTCCTCCCGCTGTCCTTCAAGTAAGTAAGTTAGAATGACGGGTTCTCAACTTGGGCTTGGGGGATGTTCCTGCGTTTAGCTTTGTCAGGCCCCGCCTGCATTCTGCTTTCTCCTGCACATTCCCCTGTGGGCACTGGCTCATTTCATGGGTCAGCAGCTCCTTTTGCCCCACTCCCCTCTAGAAGCCTGAACACCAATGTGGTCTCTAGCCTCCCTAATGGGAAATGTGTTATTAAGCCGCTCCCTGATGGGCATCAGTTTCCCACTGTGTGCTTTCCTATCATGGAGGCAAACCTTGGCTTCCTCCTCCTTTGATGCCTTAACAAGCTTTAGTAATGGAACTAAATTGGGCCTCTGATTAAGCTTAGATTAGAGGGTTTCACAAAGAGTAGCCATTGGCCACATCTGGTCCAAGAGGAACTTAGAAATTCTCATTTCCTGCGTCTTCTATCCTTGGCCAGTGCTCTCTGTACCAAAGGTGCCAGTAATCTCAACATTTAATAACAGTTACCATCAGGAGCTGGAAGGTACTGCTTATGGTGACCCTAGAGAAGAGGCTCTCTTGCAGGCAGGACAGAAAAAGGTCAACTCTGAATACCTCATTCCCAACCACCCAGTTTATCAGTCAGAGCTGGTCCAGATTTCTCCCTAGTTACCTTTATCAACAAGGTTGTGATGGGTTCAGACTTTCCTTTCTCCATCTCCAGCAACTCATGGGAAGCTGCATTTAGGAATGACATCCCGGCAAACCTCAAGTATCTTTGTGTTGGTCTGAAGATTAAGACAGGAGGCCAGGAGCCCTGGCTGGTGTGGCTCAGTGGACAGAGTGTCAGCCTGGGAACTGAAGGGTCGCATGAGAGGCACCCACACATGGATGTTTCTCTCTTTTTCTCTCCCTTGCCCTCTGTAAAAATAAATAAATAAAATGTTTTAAAAAAGACAGGAGGACAGTGAAAATTTCTGTAGTTTCAGAACATACATATTTAATAAAATTTAAGCCATTCATGAAAAAAAATTAATAAGAAAAAAATCTCGTAAAGCCAGGAATGAAACTTTCTTAACTTGGTAAAAATACCTACAAACAAACTCTATAATAAGTATAATATCTTAGAGTGAGACATTAAGACCATTAAAAAAAAAAACTAAGGTCATCTGTTATTACTTCTTCATTCCCCAACATTTTATTGTAGGTCCTAGCCAGCATGGTAAAATAAGGGTAAAAAAGTATAAGGATTAGAAAGAAAAATGTCACTATTTGAAGATGATATGATTTCTAAAACCCAAGAAAATCTATGAAGTATTAGAATCAATAAGAGAATTTATCAAGGTTTGTATGTATGAAATCCATATATGAAAGTCAACTGTGTTTTTATACATCAGCATCAAAGAGTTGATTATAATATTTCAAAAGCTACAATTCACAAAAACATGAACACTTAAGGTACTAATGAATAAATATATTCTTTGCACATTTAAAAAAGAAAATGTGTGTCAGCTCCTTATGGATAAAAGTATAAAGTTTAGTGCAAGGCATTGACAAAGTGGGTGTGGAAGTTGATATCAGTTCCCCTCAACATTGTCTCTGCATTCAAAGCAATTCCATTCAAATGCCCAAAAAGGACTTGTTTTGGTGAAACTTACCAAACTAATTCTGGAATTTACATGGTTTATTAGAGGATCAAGTTTACCACAGACAATTTTGGAGACGACAAGGGACTAGTGTTGCTGCACCAGCTACCAGGACTAACAAAGCTCTAGAAACTAAAGTGTCAGAGAATTGTCACAGGGATGGACAAGCAAATGGGACAGAATAGTGAGCCCCAGATAGACAGGCATAGGTGGGAAATTGATACATGACAGAGAGGCATTATAAAACCACAGGAAAAACGATGGACTTATTTTTAATAATTGGGATAAAATGATTAGATATACATAGGAAAAAGAACTATGCATGAAAATGACTTTTTGTTAAGAAGATAAGAGTACATCTTTATGGCCTTAATGTAGAAAACCAGCTTTTCCCACCTAAAACCACCTAAATAATAAAGTAAATCATTACAAATGTTTTTGACTATTTCAAAATGTAAAAGTTCTATATACAAAGAAGTCTAAAAACATTAAGAGAGAAACTAGGGCGGGAGATAGTTTTGCCAGGCATATGACTAACAACTATTTGGGCCAAATAGAAAGACCTCAATAATCCACAAGAGAAGTCAAACAACCTGATATAAGAAGGGGCCAAATATATGAACAAGTAATTCCCAGAGAGGAATACGTGACCACCCTCCACAAAGACGAAAAGACCCTCCAGCTCTCTGGTCACCAGGGACACAATGATCGAAGTAACACTGAAGTACCACTTCTCTCCTTTCTGATTGGTGAACACAAAGTCTGACAACACCTGGTTAGGTGCGGAGACGTGGACACTCTGATGCCAGGCTGCTAGGAGTGTCAATGAAGGGACATTTGGTAGTATCTATAAACTTGGAGTTGCAAATACCTTTTGATGTTGCAGTTCCACTTCTAGGTGTACGTCCCAGAGAAACCCTCACGTGTGCTCCTGGAGCTATGTAAAAAGATATTAATAAAAGCACTGTTAATAACGCCAAAAAAGGAAATAACCTACATGTCCATGCAGAAAGATTAAATTATGTTACGTTGATACAACGGGATGCTATTAAGATGGATGAACTAAATTAACACATATCACTATGGAAAAATCTATAAACCAACGCAGGAGTGTCACAGTTCAGATTCCTAGGAAAACAGATTCTAATGGTCTGAGATTTGCATGCGGGATGCTTTTGGGGAAGGGCTCTCCAAGCTAATGCTTGTGAGGGATGGGTGTTGGCTGCACCCAGAAAATCTGAACCGAAGCCTTAGCCAGCCCCACAGTCACCCCCCGCCCCCAGAGCTGGCACGGCCCCGCTGAGATGTCCTAGTTGTCCAAGGGCTCTGGGCATCATCTGCACTGAGTCCACCAGTCTCAGATGCCAAACAACCTAATGCAAGAACCTAACAACATTACAGGTTCTAACTGATTCTCACTGATTCTAAAAATCTATATAAGAACCTTTTTTTTCTAGCTGTTTCTGGTCTTTATGCTTTGTCCAAAAGGCAAGCACCATGAGCATAGTCCCCTGTGGTTTCTTCGGCAAAGTATTTCTACCCATAACATAAACCTAACTTCATGGTGAAGGCCAAGACAGTGAGAGCACCCTCCCTGCTCCTACATTCCTCTGTTCTTATCTGGCTTGATATGCTGCAATTTGGAATGACTTCTCCCTTCAGCTGAGGCTTGTTCTCTGGAGAGGGTGTGCCTCCTGCCGAGGAGGGCCTTCCCAAATGGCCACCTACTGGCAAGGACTGTGGGGGTTGCCTCTCTCCACCTCCATTCCAGTTCCTTCTTCTGGTGAGCACAGTGGGAAAGCTAGCAACTGCATTTTCCAGACTCTCAGAGCTCCACATGCTAATTCAGCTCTGTCTTGTAGATGTTTTTTCAGGAGACCTGGCAGGCAGAAATGAGGAGAAAGTCATCTTCCTGCCACTTGTAGGACATTTCTTGCTGCATGTGGGACTGGGAAGATGAGAGTTTTCTGAGCATCTGCCTTCTAGTGTCCATCCACTGGCTTCCTCATTCCGGTGTGGTCACTGCCACAGCAGCGGTGGGACCTGAATCCCAGCAGGCTCTAGTGGTGGCCTCAGAGGTACCTCACCTGGTCAGTAAGAGGCACCCGGTGGTCATGTTACAGAACAGACCCAAGGCGGGGTGTATGCTATACTATTACTAAAAGGACCCCCGTTTTTTCTCCGGGGGTCCCCCCCACTAGATTTGCTATGCCCACCACCAGAGGAAAGATGTCTCTCAATGCCAGAGATTTGTGAAAAGGAAAGGAATTATTTATTTAAAAGCTATACAGACTTAGAGTAGTGAGTTAATGTCTTCATTAAAATACTAAAGTCTTTTAGAATAGCCACAGATGCACAGTCGTTCCTTCTCCCTCTGCCCTAGTCTGGGGTAACATATCTCAGGAAAAGAAGTAGATGTCTGTGATTCAGGCTCCCGGCACCATCAGCTGTGTCGCCACTGCCTGATCTCCAGTTAATCCAAAGCCATGTGACTCCTTCTCATGGCCCACCAGCAAGAGTCCTTTCACCTGTTTGCTTCCAGGCAAGGTCTCTCCTGCTTCCTAAGCCACATGGCAAAAGGGACCACCCCAAAGCTGCAGGGTCCCCACTCTGCCAAAGCTTCATAGTTCTCCCTCTACTGCCACAGCCTCGTGGTCCTGACCCAGTATGGCTGCCGCACCTGGGTTTAAATCCCCTGGCCAGTCTTCCTCTGCAGCCCCATTTCCAATTCCTCCCACAATCAGTTACACCTGCCAGCATCCCCGAATTTATCGAGCTTTACTGGGCTGCCACAGTAAGTCCAGGCAGGCATGGCCCCATGTCATGGAGCCAATCATCTCTGAGTTCTCACACAGGCACTGCAACCAGGGGGAGTTGCCTCCCAGTTACATCTTGGGTGGAAATCACTCCCATCCCCCTGGCTCCAAGCATGGTCACAGCTATTTAACATATCTATGAAATCAGTTAAAGGTTATAGATATGTTAAACAATTCAATCATTCCAGAGGTTAGCTGCACAGCTGTTGCTGTACAAAACAGCTCTGAATGGCCCTGCTCCATGTGTCCCCTCAGCTCAGACTGGTGGGGGTGAGGACATCATATATATATTTTTCTCTAATATTTCCTGGACACCTCGAGTTCTGGACCCCATTACAAATCCCTGTTTGGGCCCCCCTCTTGGCTGCACCCTGTTACAGTCACTCCAGACTAAAGCCCACACCTCCTCCCTTTCCATTGGTTTTGTAAGCATCTCCTGTCCTGGGCTGCATTCCCTCCTGCATAAAACACCTACCGTGGCTTTCTATTTCCCACACTGAAACTTTTCTGATAGGATGGCTTCCTTAACAACATATACAACAATACTAATAATGGTAATAAGAATGGTAAAGGCAATCAGGGTGGCAACTAACATTTACTGAGTGCCTGCCTCGTTCCAGGCACTGTTCTAAGTATTTTGCATGTATTAACTCATTTACTCCTTCAACAACCTTATGAGTTAAGGACTCTTAGTAACCCCATTTGACAGATGGAGAAACTGAGATGCAGAAAGGTTACCCACGGTCACACACCCAGGAAGTAGTAGCAGAGGATTGGAACCTGGGCAGTCCCATCATTAAAGCTGCAAGAATAACAGCAACCAGGAAGGTTGTGTGTCTGTCTTCCTTAGACATCTTTTCTATTTCTCCCATCTGTCCCTAGGAGTCCTTGTTCCCTCACTGTCCTTAAAATTCTAAAAGTACTTGATGTGTTCCTAGTAGAGAACCAATAATATCTGATTATAGGAGATGCAACCCCATTGCTGTGGCTCATATCTAGTCTCTCCTCTGAGTTTGCATTGCAAAACCAGCTCAGGAAGTTCCAGAGAGGGCCTTCCCAAGATCAGGTCTAAATTGGGCAACAGGAAAATGTGTTTATTGACCTCGGGAAGAAACCATCAAGTTTTTAAGTGCCCCAGAAATCTCCAGAATGTAACATACCCCAATGCGAGCAAATGTCGGAAGCCTTCAGGAGTTTAAGATGGAACCTTATTGGCCAAAGTTTCAAAGTTTTACCTGCGCAGGGGCGAACTCTCGGGGTGCCTCCGGAGACACACGAGTGCCAAAATGGCTGCAAATGAGAGTCGCGCCTAACGCTTACAGGCTAGGGTTCTTATAGAGGTGAGCAAGCAAGCAACTTCCAGAAGCAGAAGGTGGCAGTTAGCTATTGGCTCAGGGGCTATACTAAGGTGCGTGATCTGACCAAGGACTGGTTACTAGAGCTCGTGGACAGCTCGTGATAGTATGGCTGATTGGCTCTTAAACCTCATGCTGTGGTTGTGGTCTTTTTACCACCCCTCCCCCCCCTTGGTGTTCCAGGAGCTGACTTAACACAACCAGCTCTGTACCTCCTTTAAGTGCACCCTGTCCTTATGGTCGAGCGAGCAGCTAAAATTGAGCACAATCACTTCCTCATTTCCCTGGCTCCTTCACAGAACAGGCCAGGTCTGGGTTTAACCTAGGGGTTGAGGTCCATTTGAGGGTAAATTGGTAGCAGGCATCTCAGGTGAAACATTTCCTTCTTAGTCCTGTGTCTTTGCCTCGGGCATCCAGGGGCAGAGAGGACACTGGCCATCTTAACTGCCTTCCATCACCAACATGCCTGAGTGCAGCAGCGCTTAGGTTCTGAATTTGTGGGGGTGGGGCACGGAGGACTGGCGGCAGGTAAGGGGAACCTAGTCAAGGTTTGAATTTCGGCTTAGATTTAGGCCCTGGTGGAAGGCCCAACAATATCTGGATTGAAAAGTACAGGGGCAAAAAGTAGGCTTACAGTTGTTTGTATGGAAAATCATGCAATAATTAATAAATAATAATACAAGAATTGTGTGTTTTGTGTACCCACAATGATAAACCTACTTTTGCCCACCGCTCTATTTTAGGTAAGTAGGTGCTGGAATTGGGATTTAAGGTGGCGCTGTATGAACTGGATGATTATATAAGGACTGTGAGTCAGAGAGGAATCTGAGGCCGGGTTCACTGGATGTTTAGCACGCCAGAGCCTAGGATGTCCTATATATCGCCCCACCCCCACTAAGGTCAGACTTGGTTGTTGAATAGACGAAGAGCTGGATCTGGGGAGGAGGAGTAGCAGGGTGTCCAGTGGCTCCAGCTGCCAAGGTCAGGGGCACCTGGGGCATTGGATCAGTCCTTGGTCACTCTGGAAAGTCAGTCTTTCCTCAAGTGCCCTATGGGCATAGCTCAAAGACAAATCCATTCCCTAAGAACAGAAAGAAGCACTTCAGCTCTGGCTGATCACCACTGAGCTGTTTCTGGTCCCCAAGTCCATGTCTCTGCCAGTGGCACCCCTGCCCCCCATCTCTCTGAATCAGGCCAGACCACTGCCTGGCTCTCACATCTGTTTGCAGTTTCCAACTTCTTTCAAATCAACCTCCAAAATGTCTACATTTCTGCTTCCCTTTTTTTTCAATTACAAAGATTATGTATGCTAATTGCAATTTAAGAAATACGGAAAAGCTGGGTGGGCTATGGGTTAGAGATGAAGGACTGAATGTGCAGGGTTAACCTCCATCCCTTCCTGGAACATCAGTAAAGTCAACAAGGTGGTGGTGGCTGATTTGCACTGACTAATGTGGCCACAGCAGATAAATAGGAGAGGCCTGAGCTAGCAGACCCGGGGAAGTGCAGGAGGAGACCCCCCACACCCCCACACCCCCCCACCCCCCCCACCCCCGGCAGCCAGATGGGTGAGGCAGGAAGTCACCTGATTTGCCTTGTAGAAGCCCTCCCACCCCTCTGAGTCTCAGGAATTTATGGCACCTGGCATATCTGGATGGAAAATGAAGATGAGCAACAAAAAGATGAGGATGGTTCAAAGTAAGATTAAGAATCAGTTACCCCTCGGTGCCTTCTGCCACCCCAGAAGGCCACTGCCTGGTTGGTCTCTGGAGAGGGAAAAGCAGATTTTTCAGGATTTGGGGTGGTGGGGACAGGAGAATTCAGTGAAAGTTTATGTACTCAGTTTTAAGATCCCCCCTTCCCCTTCCCCCTCCATGTTCTCTCTTACGAAGCTGCCCAGGGCTCTGGAAGCCGGGCTGGACACCTCTGGGTGGGGGACTGGAAGCAGTGGGGAGGGCAGAAGGGCTGCGTTGCCTCCGCCTTCCTCCTCCTCCCACCAGGATCAGTTCTGCTTTATCTGTGGTGGTTCTTTTTGTTTTGAGACGAAAATCATGGTCATAAAAATTCAACATTTTCAAGTCATGTTTTTAGTGAATTCAGTGGTTCTTAATATATTCCCCATGTGGTACAACCGCTGTCATTACTATCTAATTTCAGAATATTTTCATCGCTCCAAAAAAGAAACCTGCTCCCATTAGCAGTCACTCCCCATTCCTTGCATTCCCCTCCTCCCCGCCGACTCCTAGCAACCATTAATCTCCTTTCTGACTCTATCACTTGCCTATGCTGGATATTTCATGTAAATGAAATCACACATTATGTGGCCCTTTGTGACTGGCTTCTTCCCCTTATGTGGCTGAACAAGGGGCCACATACTAAACCTGAGAAATTCAGAGGAGGCCTACTTGGGGGGTCTTCCAAACTCAGAAACCTGAAGTAAACATAGAGAAGGGTCTGCAATTAAAACATGAATTAAAAGCAGTTCATGGCGGGCAGTCGTGTCCTGGGCTGACATTTTTCTCTAACGAAGGTCAGTCTTTACATTAACTGAGCCTATCGTCTTGCTTTGCAATGAAGATGGCATACCTTTGAAACATCAAAGTAATTTCCTTTTTTCCAGACCCTTCAACGCACAGCCACCGCAGCAGAGCCGAGACCACAAATCCCTCGTTGTTATCATGTTAATTGTTAATGCTAACAGTAGTACACCCACAAACGTAAAAGTTAGGTGTCTGTTTTGGTTTTTTAATCCAGTCTCAGAGATTTCCCCACTTTCCTTTCTCCTGCCTCCCTAATCTATCGCCACTGAATTTCATGCAATCCCTTCATGCCTTCCCCTGATTCTGATGTATAAAGTGAAGTGGTAAAACTGCCCTTCTCCAGAGCACTTTCTCAACTCACTGAGGGTTTGTTTTCTGGCCATTGTCAGTGGTTTGGCTGACATGAGCTAAAAAACTCTTACAAGTTTGAATGTTTCTCACGCTGACACCCAGCATAACGCTCATCCAGGTTGCAGCCTGAATCGACCCTCGCTCCTTTTCCGGGTGAGCATCACTCCATCGTGTGGACAGGCTGCACTCTGTTAGGCCAGTTTTCAGTCTGGGGCCAATGGCTTGTTTCTACTTTTTGGCTTTTGTCTGTTTTATCTGTTTGTTGTGGATGCAAACGGCCTTTAAACAGCGATCTCTAGATAATGCAAAGCCTGAACCCAACTGGTTTGGTGGTGAGGCAATTAGAGAGACACCAACAGAGCAAGGACCTTGAGCCAGAAGGTCACCAGGGCAGAAAGCCCCGGGTGTCTACCTCTGACCTTTCACATCACTGGTCATACAGTTCTGGCCCTCCCTTGACCTTTCCTTCCCTGGAATGTTGCTATTCATGTGGGTTAGACCCCCTTAAAGAGGAAATGAACAAGGGCCTGCAGAACAGCCCTTAAGCATTAAGCCCCCAGGCCACGGAGTTCTGACCTGTATCAAATACATCTGGGCCTGGGTTGTTTCAGCTTCCAGCCCAGGAAAGCAGCAAAACCAGAGTGGCAGCATCACAACAACACTCTGACAGCACCAGCAGGCACCAGGGCTACCTGAGGACCACCTGCCTTGAATAATGACCCCTGCCCTGGCGCCAATCAATCAGTGGAGACCACGACCCTGTGACCCTGAGAGAGCACACCTGGGAAAGCTGATGAATATTCTAGTGAGATTCTCCCCTGGAGCTGCCTCTAAAACCCCCACCCTTAAGAGCCCTTAGGACAGAGAACTCAGCTGCCCTCTCTCCCGGGAGCACTGGAGCAGCTGGACTGGACCGTTGCCCACTATTTGTCCTTCCCCCTCACCCCCGCCCAAGGTGCATCACCTTTACCTCTCTTTTCTCCTAAGCTCCAAGGGCCCTTCTCTTGCCTCAGTAACTTGTCCTGAGCTCATTTCTTCTGCTGCTCACTTCTGATATGGGAAGCTTTGAACAACCTTTGTTTAACCTTTATTTGCCCAGGCCCCAGGCGCCCTGGGGAGAATGATGGGGCTGTCTGGGATAAGTAAACAACAGTGCATTAGCTAGGACTGAGATTAACACCCCTGCTGTTAAAAACTGACCTTCGAATTTAGCCTTTGTACTTTACTTTCACCAGGTAGCTAGGACTAACTTCCACATTCCTGCTTCTGTATCTTGCTTTACTACTCCGAAGGCTATATAAACCCCAAGAATCCTTTGTTCGAGGCTCAGAATTTGGAGACTGACTCCTCTGGGCCGGTTCACGTTAATAAACCTCGTACTCCAGAAACCCTCGGTGTCTGGTTGCTTCATTTTCCTGCAACACTCCTACCTCTGTGACTTTCTAAATAAACTTTCTCTTACAGTTTGCATCTTGGTTCTGAATTCTTCCTTAGCCAGAACTCAAGTACCAATGGGGGCGGCCGGACTGAGGTCTGGTCTGACTCCACGGGTCTAACACCTGGTGCCATGTTCACTGCCACTAACAGTTATGTGGAAGGAAACCATTCATTTTAGGACTTGAAGAGGGTGGCTGTGGACTGCCCGGCCTCTTCTCCCCGAGCATCCTGAAGACCGCCCCCTCTCTAAAATGGCACGGGACACTCCTGCGGATCTGACCCCACTGACCCATCCCGGTGGTGGCCCCTGACAAGTGGCCACACACAGGGCACACCAGCCCCACGGAAATCTTCACTGCCTCAGGTGCCACTGCTGCCCCACCCTTCTGCCTGGAGGACTTTTCTCTGTTGGGGGCTTAAAAATAGGAATACTTCTCCTCCCACCTTCTAAATTGTTTGGTTGGGCTGATAAATCAGCTGGAGAAAATAAAGTTTTTAATGCATGCACATGGGGAATTCACACAGGCACGAAAATTTCAAAGACACTGAGACAACACTGCATATGTTAAGACATTTTTGGACAAAGAAGAAAACCGGGGGGATGGAGT